TTTCATTTTTTGATATTCCTTTAGGCTGAATTCTGAAATTGTCGAGTAAAAAAATGAATAGGTGGCACCGGAAGACGCACATAGCGGCATATTTTCCAGGTTCCCTACTTTCTTTCTGAAGGAGAGACAGATTCATATTTATTCGCATAACTTCTAAGTTCATGCTCTTTGTGTTTTTCAGCATGCTGAGGTGTTAGGTCTCGTGGATATTCCTGACTATATTAGATTTTGGGGAATAGATTCTGGGATAAAACACAAGTAATAATTCAGCCAAAATCCTAACTCCTACTGCTCCTTTTCTTGCTAGAACGTTAGTAGGATATAATGACTCTATATTGCTTGAGTGATATTTTAAGTTATTGTCAAATTTTTAAAAATTGGATGGATAATGTTCTGCCAATGTTTTGGTTGATGTGCTGTAGAAGAACAACAACATATGCAACCAAATAATGTTGAAGTATTTGGTGAAGGAGGTCACTGAACAAATGGAACTCGAATTGAAGTGTAAATTTGAATTAAAGCTCAGAATGAAACATGAGTTTTATAATGGATGAGTCAAGTATTTGTAGCAGTTGAAATCAGAATTTTATATTGAAACAGATTAAAAGTGGGCATAGATTCTCATCCAGATTGACATGTTTGACATTAGTTGGCCGTTAATTAGGCATGAGAGCTCTTACAATCTGTCTTCTACATATTAGATAGAGATATTAGTTGACAAATTTTTTACATAGTAAATAGAGATATTTGTTGACACATTAAACGCATTTTTCCAGAAAAAAAACAGGAAATGTTTCACTCATGGAGAGCTATGCTTTTAATATTCTTAATGCTTCACATTAAAAATTGTTCCCCTCACCTATGAAAAAAAAACCTCAACCTCAAGTGAGATCTCTACTAGGTCAGTCAAGTTATTTTCTCTTGATTGCTTTTTATTCAACTCGTGATGGTGCCAATATTTATTGTTTCTATACTTTTGACAGGTCTTGGAGAAGCATATTGGAGAAGCATGTTGCAGCTTGCATTGGAAAGCATCCCATTGTTTTTGTGACTCATAGGTTGGTATGTCCTTGTCTTGGGAACTTTTATTAACATCATGAGATATGGTTCTTGATTTTACGTTGCTTGAATTTACTTAAGTACCTTTCAAGTTCTTTTTCGATCCTCTTTTGAATGCAAACCGTATTAGTTCAACACAAATTACATGAAGAGTTTAGCACTATCTTGTTTATTTATCAAGGAGTCCACTCGACAAATCCTCTGGTGTACCCTAAACAAAATTGTTGATGGATGTGTTGCTCGTCTTGCAGCCATGTTGGAAATGATGGAAGCATTTTCTAGTGTTATGGACATGATTGGTATAGAATGATTAAATATGTGACGAGAAAGGTCTTCTTCAACCAGGGAGAATGTCTTATTAGCTACAAGTGATTATCGTGCTTGCTTCCATAAGGCACACCTACACTAGTGCCAGTATGAGTGACATACGAGAGAAGAAATGAGAAGAAGCAAAACCAAACAATATACTACGTAATAGATAAATGTAGTAAATTGAAATAATAGATCAAATTGTATATTTGTTGTGAAACGATATATACCCGTAGTATTATATTTTGTTGCTTTTTGTTGTACCACATGTATTGCATTTTGTTGCATCTTGTTACTTTTTGTTGCACTGTGTTTATTTTTATTGTTGACTTAGATGTTTGTTGTTTATTTAGATTTCTATTTATTTTTCTAAATTCTTAAAATACAAAAATGTCTAGATAGATTTAGATACATGCATTGAAAATGTTAAATTTTAATTTGTGAATATAAAAAAAGTAGAAACATAAAGAAACAATAAAAAACAAATTTTTAGAAATGTCAACAAAAAGAAACACAAAGAAACCATATGCAACAAAAACTAAAAAAAATGATAATAATAATAATTATTCAAAGTTTATGTACTCTAAGAAACATTACATTCAAAAACAGTTTTTTGTTATTTTTTTGGATTTCTATATATTTTTCTAATCCTTAAAATTGAAATATCTATATAGACAATATGAACAAACACCAAAAAATGTTAAATATCAATTAATGAATATGAACAACAAGAAGAAACAATAAAAACAAGAATTCCAAAGTTATCAACAAAAATAAACACAAAGAAACAATAGAAAACAAAAACACCTAAAATAATAAAATTGGACTTATGAATAAACAAAAAGAAATTTGAAGAAACAATAAAAAACAAAAAAAATTGTAAAATTATCAACAAAGGGAAACACAAAGAAACAATATGCAACAAAAGTAAAAAAATAAGTGATAATGATATAATAAAAATAAATTTATGTCCAGGGGTTTTAGATTTTAATGCTTATTAATTTAATCTAGTTCTCTGATTTTTAAAAATTCAAAGATTCTTATTTTCTAGTTTTATTTACTTATTAACAGTAATTTTGAAGTTTTAGATGTTTTCAAACTTTATATATAAATTTGAGTTTTTTTATGTTTTCCAAATCTCAGAATTCATCTTCTTTAATTTTTGTTACAATTTGTTTTAGCTTTAACGAATTTTAATTTTTTTTATCTTAAATGTTTAAAATTTTTGTTTTTGAAAGGGTTAAAACAAAACCAGTTTAACACTTTTTTTAGTTTTTTGAAGTTTTCTGATAATTCATATATTTTTTATTTGAATTGCTTGCTTTCCTTCATTCTTTTCTTAATATTATGATTTTTATTTATTTTCTTTTTTAAAATATTTTTATTATTTTTTAGACTTTTTGACTCTTTTAAAAAAATAAACCATGTTCATATTTTTAATTGTTTGAAAAATCTTTCGTGTTATTTTATTTCTTATAATGTATACTTTTAATATTTAAAGATCATCGATTTATAAAATTTCCTCCTTTAATGCATTTTTATTTTTATTTTTACAAAAAAATATTTTCTAATTTACATTTTTTAAGAGTTGAATAAAGTTGGAGATAACACTTTTGCTTACTAACGTGGCATCCGTGCAAACTTTCCTTTTTAATAACCTAACTGCACTTTTAAGGAATCAAGATGCGCATGATTGGAGCTCTATGTACGAAAGTCTATTTATGAAAGGAAAACTTTACTGGTCTATTTTTGAAAAGAACTTTCAAAAGTGAAAAAAAGTGATATTATTTTCAATTTTAGGCTATTTGTAAAAATTTCCCAATTTATAAAGTCGATTCTTAGGCTATTTAATTTAATTGGGCCATATAAAACTAGTTAAGTAATTAAATAAGGAAACTTTAACATTAATTGTGAATTAAATAAATCACTGAGATTGAAAATAATATTCTGGACTAAAAATGATGTTTGGAATAAAATAAGGAAAATAAAATACGGTTGGGTTAACTAGCATAAATAATTGACTATATGTAGACTTAATAAATAACTTATGTAATTAGTAGACTAATTAAATTAATAATTTTTATGATTAATTATTAGGGATTTGGAGTTCATATAAATATCTAAAATATTTGAACTCATAAATTAATGGGTTAATATAAATAAAGTAATCAAATAATATTTTATGAGTAGACTAATGGTGATTATTAAAACAATTGGATGTTGTAGTTAATTATATTAAGATATTTTATTTAATGCAAATACTATAATTAATGGTTAAATTAATAAAGTAATTTGATTAATAAAAAGTGACTAACCCGAATAACTAATTAATTATATTAATAAAATTCGGGTAATAAGAAAAGAAAGGGAAAATATCAGATAAATTATTAAAAATAGAATAAGTGACTAATTATATCATTTTAATTAAAAAGGTGAATATTTAGAGACCGGAATCGAGAGAGAGAATTAGGAGCATCGGATTTAAGGTAAGTTTCTCTGCCAATCCAAAAATCGTTTCCTCGTATTATATATGTATTATGTGATACGTGATTTTAGTGTATGCATGTGATCTGAAAATTTCTCAATATGTGATATTTGAGAAGAAGTGCTTTTGTGTATTAAATATTTCATTTAATTATTTTCGAGGCATTTGAGAAATTGGGGAAATATTTTGAGTATACTAATCAAAGATAAAATAATGTTTTCATGAGATATGCATCTCGGGAGTAATCCGAGGTGTTGGTTTTCCACATCCCTTAAAATGTGGAGAGTGGTTAGGGCTACTACTAAGAAGAGATTTTTGAGTAACTTTCGGATCGATGATCCCTTTTAAGAAGGAGAGTTGTGGTAGTAGTAGTAGTTCCGACGTAAAAGGGCTGCTACTGCTAAGGGTGAAGATAAGTTTTGAGTGATAATTGGACCGATGATCCCTTTTAAGAAGCAGAGTTGTAGTAGTAGTCCCTAATCATTCAGAAATATCTTATTCAGGGGTAGTTGGTAGACTGAGTCCCGATTACTCGTGACGACTTACTACTCGGAGGGTTTGGAATCCCTTTTAGGGGGTGTGCACACTTAAAGTAGTCGTTTCCTTTCCACAAGAGCAGTTGTGATACCGGCACTTGATCGGGATGGCCGTCCGTAACCACGGTCCACCGGGCTCAGTCGAAAGGTTGAGCACCGCCCTTCTAAATTACTAAGAAGTTAGAGAAGAAGTGATTTTCTTAAAAAGTTTAAAGAGAAGAAATACTAAGAGATTTTCGAAGAAACGTTGGGGATTTTAGTAAAGAAGTAATTTTAAGAAAAATCAAAGAGGAAAGAATTTTGGTGGAGTGAGTTCTTTTTATATAAGTATTATATAAAAACTATTTTCACCAAACCTGATTATTTTACGGGGTTGGGTAGTACTTACTTAGCTCTAAAGCTAATTCTTGTTATTTCTCTTGTCTCTCTCTTCTCCCTTAAATTTTATCAGGTGATGAGTTGGATGTCTATGTGGATTGATGAATTGCTCGAACTTGAGTGTGAATTAGAAGATGTCTTAGTTAAATTTAGTCATGAAATAAACATTTATTTACTATTTCATTAGTTTTAATATTTTTGTTTGGTTTGCCTGTGCATTCGGTTAAGAGATAACCGGATGTGGCGGTAACACTCATTTCTCTTTTAGACTTTCGATGTATTTCTTTAACTCTTTGATGAATGAATAAAGTATTTCTTTTAAATATATCATTGTTTTGGGTGGGAAATTTTGAGGTGTTACAGAGGAGGAGGAGGAGGAAGAAGAAGCAGAAGCAGCAGAAGCAGAAGAAGCAGAAGCGAAAGCGAAAGAAGAAGCAGAAGCGGAAGAAGAAAAAGAAGAAGAAGCAGAATCGGAAGAAGCAGAAGCAGAAGAAGAAGAAGCAGCAGAAGAACAAGCTGAAGCAGAAGCGGAAGCGGAAGAAGAAAAAGAAAAAGAAGAAGAAGCAGAAGCGAACGAAGCAGAAGAAGAAGAAGAAACAGCGGAAGCAGAAGCAGAAGCATAAGAAGCAACAGAAGAAGAAGCAGCAGAAGAAGAAGCAGCAGAAGAAACAGCAGAAGAAGCAGCAGAAGAAGAAGCAGAAGAAGCAGCAGAAGATGCAGTAGAAGCATCAGAAGAAGAAGAAGCAGAAGAAGCAGAAGAAGAAGTAGAAGACATACCTTTCACATTTTATACCACCACTCGAATTCGCCGGAGATGGGAGTAAGTTTCGCCGCAGATGGGAGTAAATTTCGTTGTCCGAATGCCAATAAGAGAACATGAATTCAGAAGGAAGAAGAATAAATGGATGGAAGAAGAAAGGGGGAGGAGCGGAGGTGAGTGGCGTATGATATGCGGAAAGGGTGGTAAGAGAGATGTTGGGTGGATAAAAAAATGATCAAAGACCGGAAAGGCTGGAAAGTGGAAAGACTGACATTAATGCCAGAGGGTAAAATAGGAATCAAAGTCCTATTCAGGGAATTTAATTAAAATATGGTCCTAGTGGTGCATCTTTTTTATTTTTAAGTCCTATTCGTATCAATTTCTTTTTTATAAACTGATTTCAGCAAGGATTAAGGAAATACTTTCATAGTTTGATATAGTTTATTGACTTTTAAACTTTTGAAATATTATTAGGTTATTTCCCATACCTTCCTACTGTGTTATAGGGACGTTGATCACGTATTTTTTTTAGTTTGATTATTTTCAATCAGTTTTGTTGCGTTTCAGTTGGTTTTAGTCTACAATTGTGAGCTGAATAGGCTACAATTTGATTGATTTTTGTTGGTTTCAAACTTTCTACTATAAGCGATTTGATTTTTATTGGTTTCAAAATTATCATTTAATCTTAAAGGCTATACTCCCTAATAAATAATATTCCCGTTGCGTGCCTGTTGGGTGCCCGTTGTGTGCCAGTTGTGTGCATTTTTTTTCTAGTACAACATCCGTGGGATGCATGTGATTTAAAAATATACTACCCTTGTCCCAAATTGTTTTGCAAATAAAACATTTTTTTTGTCGATCAATGTCAAAGTTAAGTCCACCTTATTGATAATTAATTTAATTTTAATAATTGAAATTTACATATTCAAATTAAAATTTGATTAAGAATTGTTATCCTAATTAAGTAAATAAAATAAATTTATTTGACCTTAAAAAGATCAATTTTGTAACTCAATTTGGGACCGAGGGAAAATGAAACAACATTTTAAATTAAAAAAAATGCATGAACGGTGTAGAAATTTAGTATGATGTTTATTTAGATAGAGCTAATTGTAAATCAAAGTTCATCACATACAAGCAACAATAAAATAAAAACTTTTATGCCACCCATTGAAGTTTCCTTGAGATGTTCCGTCAAAATTTTGACATGAGTCGTGCTTTATGTAAACGTTTTTTGTGTACACCTTTGACAAACTTGTACACACAGTGTACCAAAACTACTGTATCAAAAGTGTACCAAAACTATGTCTGCATACATAGTGTATCAAATGTGTACACAAAAAACGTGTGCACTGAATATTTTTCTTTGGACATTTATTCATTTCCATTTCTAATTAACACACACCGCAAGATATATATGTATATAAGAGAAACTTTTGGGGTGTATATATGAAAAATTCATGTGAGCTGAGCATCCCTTTATTTGGTTATTTTGTTTGGAAGTTTTGTTTAAGATGTATTTTTTACAAGTATCTTTAAAATAATATTGAGTTAAGACTATTCACAAAAATATGACTTAGTTATTATGAATATGATGTCATGGTTAGTTATGTTTAAATTCTAACACAAATTTCTATGTTTAAAATTTTTACTACACTTAAAATGTTGCATTTTGTCAAAAAGCTTTATTTTAATCTTAAATATGTATTTTTGCTTTTCGATCTCCCTACTAATTGCAATTATTCGAAGCTTAAACATTAATGGAGCGGACTGAATATGAAAAATGAAAAAGATTATACTATAACATGTACATAGATCCCCGGAAAAGTATCTAACCACTACAAAAAACAGCGACTTTGTCACGGATTTTGGTCACGGATTTGGTCCGTGACAAGTTTGTTACGAATTTTGTCACGGATTTATCTCACATGTCACCAAAAAGCTTTGTCACGGACTAAATACGTGACAAAACATTTGTCACAGACGAAATCCGTGACAAAACAACTCGAGTGACCGGAAACTTATGCCGGCGTAATTATTTTTATTACGGCGTTTTGTCAAGGACGAAATCCGTGACAAAACTATTAATTTTTTAGTTTGTCGCGTACGGATCCGTGACAAAATCCGTGACAAATCTCAATAATTGCTATTTCCAACGGTCATCGAATTTGATGAAACGGTTAGCAACACAAGGGGGGGGGGGGGGGGTGGGGTGAATTGTGTGTGTGTGGAACCGTGGCAGTTTTTCGCACAGTTCTAGTGTGGGGTTCAGGGAATTGCAAAATAGTAAAGTACACAAGGATTTAACGAGGAAAAATCCCTTGGCTCAAAGGGTTTAAAAAACCTCTACCTCCCTCGGAGGAATTTTAAACAACTTCACTAAAAAGCCTTTTGTGGTTACAAGGTAAATTCTCCTAATCTACCCTTGAGCCACCCCAACTCTATCCTCTCTAGGAAGAGTTATGCATCTCTACCTTGCGGGTAGAGAGCCTCTCAGCTTTACAACAAAGCTCTCACACACACGACCCCAACCCGAGGAAGCTACACTTTAGCCTTTCCTCAAAATCTAGTTACAAGATAAAGAAGGGAAAAGAAACTATATCTAGAACTTCGTGAGCAGGTCCAGATGTCTTGGTCTTGATAGTTCTTTATAAGTATTTCTCTTTGTAATTGCTCGGTCAAGCACACCCTCTTCTCTTGATCTTCCGTCATATATATAGCTTCATGCAGGACGTCTGTTGCTCCTCTTTCCTTAGTTGGTTGCTTGGTAAATTTATGGACTTGCCTTGATATTTTTGAATTGCTTCTCTCCATAATATTTCTCATATTCCATCTCGAGATATGTAGGGCAGTCAAATTAAGATACTTAAGATATTATAATCACATATACACGAAAGTAGCATACCAATCACGGACAAGGAGATTATTTAAAAAATGCAACGGCTCACTCAAATCATGTGTGATTAATTTAAGTAGGAATATTTCAAGCTACTTAAATTTATTACCAAAGAGAACAAGTTGTGGCCAACTCTTAAAACGGCAGAATATTATCCTCAATATATGCAACAGATCAAATATGGAATATATTTCAAACAAGGATTACTTTTTAAATCCGTATAGCAAGAGAAAGAATTCACTTAACAAGTATAAGTGCTATGGTCAACTTCCAATTATAAATCATGCACTCGCATCAAGTAAAGATACTTTCCATAAAGTATTTAAACATTATTTAATGAGTGGATGTCAAGTCAAGTACAGAAAGATAATGACCACCCAAATAAGTACTCATACGTATACATAGAGTGGACATGCATAGAAAGACACTTTTGCTTAAAATAATATTCTTGACAAAGTATAAGCACTCATATAAGGAAAGCATATTATTTGAAAATCAAGTAGGTGCAATCAATATTAATTCAAATCATATCACGGAACTAGAAATGGTTCTGCATTAGTTCCTCCTGCATGGTTAGTCAATCAACACACTAATAATATCCACTTGGTCCTGAGGATAGTTCTTTCCTTTGTTCCGTAAGGAACTGTGAGCGGTTCTATCCGCCGTTCCACTTGCATGGTTAGTCATCAACAAAACAACATACTCAACAAATTCCCCCTTTTTGTTGATGACAAACATTAGGTGTCATAATGAAGGTGTCCCTGCAGATTAGTAGCAATCATAAGTAGTAGAGCATCAACACATAAAGAGGCACCTGATTTTCCCCCCCTTTTGTCATTCAACAAAAGGAACCAAAATAATGCCCGAATCAAAACACTGATTTGTTCCCCCTTAGATGAGGCCAGTGAGGGAGGATGTTTCTTTGCGATACGCAGACGCAAAAGAGATTGAGCAAGTTAATTAGTTTAGGATATTATTAGACCGAGTTCAAGTCTAATCAGTTCAAACCTTTCTCTTCTCAGAGGCTTGGCAAAAATATCAGCTATTTGTTTCTCGATGTTGCAATATTCCAACCTGATTATCCCCTTTTCCACGCAATCTCTCAGAAAGTGATGTCGTATATGAATATGTTTTGTCCGAGAATGCATGACCGGATCCTTTGATATGCTAATTGCACTTGTGTGATCGCATAGGATGGGTGTGCACTTTAAATCAACCCCGTAATCGCTTACTTGTTGCATGATCCACAATGATTGAGAGCAACAAGATGCGGCTGCTACGTACTCAGCTTCGGCCGTTGAAAGAGCAACTGAATTTTGTTTCTTAGAGCTCCATGAAACTAGACAGGTACCTAGGAAGTGAGCCGTTCCTGATGTGCTTTTTCTATTTAGTAAATCACCTGCAAAATCAGAGTCTGAATATGCAATAAGGTTAAAATCTTCATTACGTGGATTCCATAAGCATATATTCAAAGTTCCTTTGAGATATTTGAGGATCCTTTTAGCCGCTTTGAGATGTGACTCCTTAGGATTTGCCTGGAACCGAGCGCATAGACCTACACTGAAAACTATGTCGGGTCTACTGGCAGTTAGGTATAGTAGAGACCCAATCATCCCTCTATACTTCTTTTGGTCCACATTTGTTCCCTGTTCGTCTGCATCCAATCGTTCATTTGTTCCCATACGTGTCGTCATTGTTTTGCCTTCACTTGCCCCATACTTCTTGAGTAGTTCCTTAAGATACTTTTGTTGAGATATTTGAGTTCTTTGGCTTGTTTGTTTGATTTGTAGACCAAGGAAAAAATTTACTTCTCCCATCATGCTCATTTCGAACTCGGAACTCATAAGAGAAGAAAATTCATCACAAAGAGAATCATTAGTAGCTCTAAATATAATATCATCAACATAAATTTGAACGACCAAAAGGGCTTGATTTTTTATTTTTAGAAAAAGAGTTTTGTCTATTTTTCCTCTTTCAAAATCATTTTCCAAAAGAAATTTAGATAGTCGTTCATACCAAGCACGAGGTGCTTGTTTGAGACCATAAAGTGCTTTGTCTAATTTAAAAACGTGATTAGGAAAATCTGGATTTTCAAACCCCGGTGGTTGTTCTACGTATACCTCTTCCTTAAGATAATCATTCAAGAAGGCCGTTTTTACATCTATTTGATGGAGTGTGAATCCCATGTGAGTCGCAAATGCTAAGAGATAAATAAGCAAAGAAAGCACAAAAATTTCTAAGTTTAGATCTAGTAGTTACTCCCTGATTTAGATCTGTTAAGAGGTTATCCAGGGGATGTGATCGGTGATGCTTCCACCCTCTTGGAGCATTTGGTTGATCCACCAATTCGTG